AAATACAGTTTAGGCTGGAACAGTAGGTGGAGGACCAGGTGACATTACAGTATGTTAAGAAAGGATATACAAAAAAAGTCACAATGATTTTGAAAACATTTTAAAATGACATTGTAGAAAACCTTTTTTTGCAGTTGTTGTGTTACAATTTGACGATAGTTGTTACGTGAGATGCGAAAAAACATCCCTTAGCCTCGTTTTCAACTCGCAATTCCACACTGAATACCTCTCTTCGTTAACCAATCAGAATGCGTGATTTTACTCGATTATGCAATTCTATAATAAATACCATCTACCATGAACTATATCAGTACCTGCTGAGTGACTTTGCTCTTGTTCACCAAGCAGAGAGCATTCCATGCTACATTCAACCTGGAGGACCTGACTTTCATGTTCTTCCATGGCTAAGAGGATAAGATAAAATCTTTAGTTGGGCAAGAATTTTCCCTCACCCCTACATACACCTATTGTTCAAAGAAAACATGTCAGAACAATACTGAGCCAAAAGTTGTAATTTCTGGTTTAACTCTAATGGGGAATTGTTTTTAAGAATAAACGAGCTGAGCTTGACAATATTCCTGGAAATATTATTTACTACACTGTACCCTCCAATGAATGAACAACTTGATAACCACACTCAAAACTGGTTTACAATATTTCCCCATCTCTCAACACAAGGAGTTTTTGAGCATTTATGATCACATAATTTTTGTCTTAATTTGGCTATTACTGCAAAGTACAATGTCTTCAATACAGTAAAAACCTAGCTGTGACTAAGAACCTGGTTTTTAGGAACCTGTTGGGCTAAACTTGCCAGTTATAATTAGGCCCCTCTATACAAGAACCAGTGTTTAGCCCAATATTTGACACACATCTTTATTTTCTCAAATCTATAAAAAAAAAAATTCTATACACCTGGAAAATATTCAGGTGAACCTCTTTTGGGAGACATAATCTGCAATGTTTTTTTTTTCAGAAAATAAGAACCTTTTCATTTTAGAAAAATAGACAAATTTTTGCCAATAACTATTTTTTTAAGAACGTACCTGTTAATGCAATGGGAAAATCCAGGTTCTTACCTACGAGTTTTTACTGTCTTTTGACCGGTCCGAGCAAAAATTTGTTTGGCAGGTAATAATTTATTTTGACCGGTTAGTAACTAGACATGACCGAGCTTAAATTTGTTTGGCCTGTCAACATTCAAAAATAATTTCTAACCCTGGCTGCCCTCCTTATTTACATAGATCTCCATACACATTCTTAAACACTCGAAGATAGGTATCTACAAAATGGAAAAGCCTAGATTTATAGTAAAATAATAAAAGTTATTTCAATTACAAGAGGGAGAATAGATCCTTCAAATTCGGTTTACCCTGAATAAAACAAATAGAGGTAAGCTCGAACAATCTGCACCAAAACGCTCTTTCAACAGACATTGAAAATCTTCAAATTCAAGGTGCTCTCTGCTCTCTTTTCAGAAAACATAACAACGCTTTCACAGACCGTATAATTTACAATCCTCTAACACTGAATCATTTTAACTTGTCACAGAGGCCAGAGTCGCCTAAAATTTACATAAGGAGTTATCATTCATTCAGCGATGCATCGGACACATGGCAATGGTTATAATTTTCGATAAAATTTCATTAATACAATTTAAGATTACCTTATTTTCCGCGCCAGAGACAACGAAAATACACCGAGGAGCACGAATTATGAGGTTACTCTATAATTTTATCTTGGACGTGACTGTCTTGTTAAAGTGAAATTTCAATCACATCGTTTTTCTTCAACGAAGAGGACACAGGTCAACTTCAATGGATGATAAAGGTATCAACTCTAGACTGCGTGACAACAAATGACGTGTGGTGATTGGTCCAAAAAAACTGATGCAATTACAAAGAGGTTGTTGATTAACAAACAAAACAAAAACTACCTCTGTTTTCGTAAAATCCCCGATTCATTTAACAGAAAGCTAACCTCGGCAAAAATTCGCTCACCTTCTCCTCCTTCTCGTTCGTTTTCGTTTACACGACGCCTGTTTTCCCTTGCTGTCTCTCGCTCCCTACTTCGCCGCTCGTCGCTTACTGGCGTCTATTTTCTCTTGCTTTCTCTCGTTCATTCTCCAGTTGCTCTTCAGTGAAATTTTGTCGCCTTTCCCTTTCTCTTTCTTGCGCTTTTCCCCGTTGTTCGCCAGTAAAATTTTGCCTCCTTTCTCTGTTTCTCTCTTGCTCTCTCTCGGGTTGCTCCTCAGTAAAATGTTTCCTCCTTTCTCTATCCCTTTCCTGCTCTTTCTCACGTTGCTCGTCAGTAAAATTGCGCCTCCTTTCTCTGTTTCTTTCTTGTTCCCTCTCCCGTTGCTCGTCAGAGCAGTTTCGCCTCCTTTCTCTAGCTCTCTTCCGCTCTCTCTCTCGTTGAGCTTGGCTTGCTTGCCGCCTACTTTCTCGTTTTCTCTGCCTCTCTTTATCTCTATACTCCAAACTAGAGGGCATAATAAATAAATAATGTAGAAAATACGGATGTATAAAAATGTCAACCGACACGAAAAATTTCTTTTTGTTCTGAGTTGACTTTCCTGAACTTCTAAGTTGTTTATGCTTCACAAAACGCGGGTTGCCATTCGTTTTCGCGCCAAAAAACCCTTATCACAGACTACCCGAAATTTTGCGTTGGTATGCCTGTGGTGCGGACGGACGGTCGGGCGGGCGGGCGGTCGGTGTACGGTCACGTGATTACCAAATTTTCTCGGATGGGTAGTTTACCACATTTTGTTACCCATGGTGCTCCGCTGCGCGCTTCGCGCGCGAGAGCTCCGCTATGAATTTATAATACAACACACACACACACAAAAAAAAAAAAAAAAAGAAAAAAAAAAAAAGCAAAAACCCAAAAGGGGTAGGTGCAACGGGACTAACGTCCCATGCGAGGCACCGCCCCTAGATTAAGACCTAGGTTAAAAAAATAAAATGAGTACACAAACATTCGTACAAAAAATAAAATAACTTACGAGTGGCATGGGCACATAGGGACTAGTGTCCACGTGCAGGGGTAATTGATTTCATATACCCGCGAGAGGTGAGTGCTCATTAATTTGCGAACAAAAAGTTGAAAGGCAGTAGGAGAGGAAAAACTGGTTGGGCGTGCTAGCTTACAAACATAGTTCCATAGTTCAACAATACGGTTAAAGTACGAGGCCTCAAAAGTTGATGTTTTGCAAAAACGGGTGCGAAGATTAAAGGAGTTACTTAGTCTTGTACGATCATGGGAAACAAAAGTATTAAGCGGTGACTTAGCCATTCCCCGAGGGTGACTGCTTAATATAGGTTCGACTGTGCTTATTTTTGTGTGGAAGCAATAAAGAGTAAACGGAAAGTAAGGGGGAAACTTGGTCATGTGGTACAAATTCACGTCTGCCGTTTGCCGTAAACTTAAATCTTAATCTCTCTATTAACATAATTCCAACAAACAGCTCATTTCTACCCGTGGTGTCATGTAAACTGACAAATGGGAGAGTGGGAGTTTTAGCTTTATGCAAGAGGTTACATTGTTTTAGTTGTGCCGTTCTCTATGAGAGTGTAGGGAAGCTTGAAAGATACTGTGGAAATCCAGGATACAGTCAGTTAAGAGAAGGTCATCATGGGATCAGAAAAATTAAGATTGCTCTGTTTGTGATCTAGGAAGTCGCAGGAGGAGTAGGGAATGACAAGAAACAAGGTAATATATCTTCCATTTAACCTTGATAAAACAATTGTGACTTCAGAACTTCAGACTTCAGGATCAACAGACTTTTAAGGGGTCTCACAACCAATATATCATTAGTAGAAATGCGTGTCTTTCAGAAACCTCACATAGCTCGCAGGAAAGATGAACAGTCCTCGGGGCAGTCTGTATTTGTGCGCATCTTCTTTTGTTCACCGTACGTTGTTCCTGTGAATGGTCCGTTATCGTTGGAGCCGTCAGTAGGGAACTCAAGCGACAATGACGACGACGGCTACGAAAACGTCACTTGAAAAGTGAATTCGCGCTGCTTCAAAATTTATCACGCTTGTTCCATCTCGTTTAATTCGTCAAATGTTGGCGACTTTTTCTGGAGTTGAATTCTAAAGGACTATATCGAATTTCTCATCGCGCAGAAAGCCTATTGATCTCGGGACATTAATACTTCCAGTTCAACAAAGTTCATTACGAGCAATCATGCAGAGACTCTTTTACAAAAAAAAAATTTTAAAAAACATCTTTCTCATGTATTCACCATGCTTAAATTTTTACCATAATATTTCTATCATGATATCCCGTGTTGTAGAAAAAAGTATTATGCAGTTTTGACTGTTTAAAAACAAGTCCAGCTCTATTCTAGTCTGGAATGTCTAGACTGTCTAGAACGTCTGAAATGAAAGGAATGCCTGCACTAGTGAGCATCACTTTTAGGATCATCCGAAATGCGAAACTTCCAAAGCCGCGGAGCGTGCTGCCAGATGCTCGTGTGTCGACTCTGGCTCGTGTGTCATTTTTGACAGTAGTATCCCTTATTACGCTGACAATCTCTTCAGAAGTGGTCTTACATTTATTTCAATAGGAGTGCGCGTGCCAGGGTTTTTGCCACTGCTATAGGCTTGAGAATCCGGGATCTTAAATTCCTTTTTCGAAGCTTGCATTTCTTCCGACTGCTTTTCATTCATATCTTCATGCAATATCGGGAGCCCTGTTAGATGGAGGCTCGATGAAGCGATGACCATTGGCCAATAAAAATGCTGCCTTTGCATTGTTGTTGATGCGCTTGAAAGCAGAAATCCACGTACAACGCATTGACCCAATTTTCTCTGTCTGGTAAACTGGGCTCGCTTAATTCGCCTGCGGGTACAAATGACACTTTCATCAATACATCATCAGGGACTCCAATGTTGGTAATGACATCTAATATCTTTTTTTTAACTTCTCGGAGGCGTTTGTTGAAGAAATCTTCCAAGGTGTTGTCTTTATCTTGCTTTCTCGGACGAGCTTCAGCTAACTTCGTTGGCGAATGTGAATACCACTACGGCGTGTTTCCAAAGCGAGACACCCAAAGCTTTGGTGAGCTTCTCAATTGTTTCCAAGTCATCACTGCGAAATCGTCTGGCGTTTAATTCAGTACAAAAAAGAAACAGGTCGGGATCAATCTCTTTAGGCTGAATTTTGCTGATGTATTCATCATCTTTACCCGTTGCATCTGCCAGTCCTGAAGTTTCAAACACGGTAACTTTGACATTGTTCTTTATAGCTTCATACCCTGTCACCTGGTGGAAAATAAAGGACAGAAAATCGGTGGACAAAAGCTTAATTTTTTGACATTTTATCGAACGATAACCCTCTGCCAACGTTTTGGTCTTACTGGTAGTTTACAGTCGATCATTGCGTTTGAGAAAATTGAGAAAAAACTGTGTAGAAAAAGATGATCTTGATCCTTACACGAGTGGTAATAAAAACGAGTACATTTATCCACCTCAGCGTTAAGCCTTGGACGACAACATTCTCCTCGTTCTGCATAATTCTTCATATCATGCTCAGCCTCATCCAATAATTGTTTATTACTACAGTAGAACCTAACCCTAACCCTAACCCCACTCCCTCCCCCCACCCTCCCCCCCCCTAACTCGAACTCGAACGGTTTTTTGTTTCCCTTCAGAGTTCGAGTTACCGGGGTTCTACTTTATGTAGTTCATGGGTCATTCCTATGGAGAATTATTTTTTGTTTCGTTTTGTTGTTATTGTTGTTGCAAATGTTGTTGTTGTGGTTGTTTTATATCACTTCGTCCTGCATCGTTTTCAGTTGATTCGAATATGGAGGAGGAAGTCGGAACTGACCTATTTTCCTGTTTGAAGACCGGAGTAACTAACAATACAGAAAAGGCCTCAGTAAAAGATCGTGGCTGAGAGTGTATAGTTCATCAATTACTCATAATTTTACTGGCTTGCATGAAAAATATACGATACAAAAAGATAAAATACAAAATAAAATTCAAACTTTGTGTTTGATAGAGTCAAGAAATAGCGATAAAATGCAATCATAATTGATTTAATCTTAGCTTCAAGGCAAAATGTTGGCTTGTTAGAGACGTTTTAGACAAAATTACTGTTAAGAAATAGTAACTAATTTACATTCGCATAAAAGCCACCTTATGCCTTTTGATAGATAAGTTATGGGTGAAAAATTCTGCATAAGGCATAAGGTGGGCTGATAGAGAAAATTTGCCAGCGACGCTGAAGGGGAGGAGGGTGGGGAAACTTGCTTGCCCGTTGTAGAGTAGACTTGCGAGAAGACGGTGAATTTGTTTGCTAGGGCGTATAAAAGGCCAAGGGAATTTCCCTGGGGACCGTAAAGGACCAATAGACTGCTTCCCGAGGGAGCACGCAGTAATCTAGTTGATTAAATCGTCACGCGGCGGCTTTTATACGAATGAGAATAGTAACTAATTTACATTCGCATAAGAGCCACCTTATGCCTTTTGATAGATAAGTTATGGGTGAAAAATTTTGCTCGACACCAGGGGTGATATAGACTCATCCAAAAGACGGTAAATTATTGCAGAATACCTCATTAACTTGCAGTACAGTCAAATCTCCCCGAAACTCAGAAAAACCCAGAAAAACTCCCTTAGAGAGATGGGCAGTGTTGGCGTAATGCCTCCCAGATGTGACGGATTCAATTGAGGGGAGTGGCCCGGCCCAACTGTGGGGCTTTCCCTCCCGGATACGCTAAAGGAAAGCTGAAGGGTGGCTTGCAGCATGTGTAACCCGGTTAGAGAAATCCGAATGGGAGGAGATAAAAATGAAGGAAAGACCCTACGAAAGAGGGAGGCTGGGAGGGAACCCCACAGTTGAGTCGAGTCAGGACACCGTCCGAAGACTGGATGAGGGGTGTGTTTAGGAACCCCCCCTGAGCACGACTCAAATGTGGGGTAAGGAAATATAGGAAGCAAAAGCCAAAGAAAAATATAATATACAAGGAAACTCGTGCAAATTTATAAAGGCTGTACGCTAGAGTAAAGAGAATGTGGTTACTGATATCTAGGAGTTACGTCACCTTCTGTTTCTGCTATGTGACCTCTAAGATCACAAGTGTAATAGGTGAAGAAGAATAAACACAATATAAAAAGTGAGACGTCTCAAGGGAACAGCTGCGAGGGGGCACGGAGTATGCTGACAATGCAATGTGCAGAAATTATACAAAATGTTGACAATACAATGAGTTGGAAACGAACGGGAAAAATAAACAACTGGCCACCTTATCCTAAAATCTTTCAATTCATACACGTAAAATGCCATAAAGCATCAAAGACTGTAGACAAATGTACGATGGACGGTCGCGAAGTAAAGCCAAAGAAGTCTGTTCGTCATTGTACGTTTCACAGACGTTAAAGGGCACCAACGAAATTAAAAACATGCCACCGAGCTGCGTTGGTGAGATCTTCGTTTACGTTTCACAAACGCTAAGAAGCGTCAACGTAATGTCTATCCCCTGATTGTACGTTTCACAGACGCCAAAAGGCGCCAACGTAACTGATTAAAAACATGCCACTGAACAGAGCTGCTAGGATCCTCCTTTACGTTTCACAAACGCTAAGAAGCGTCAACGTAATGTCTTTCTCTTCATTATACGTTTCACAGACGCCGAAGGGCGCCAACGTAATTAAATACATTCCACTGAACTGCACTGTTGAGATTCTCCTTTACGTTTCACAGACGCCATGAAGCGCCAACGTAAATATGTTCCGGCTCGTTTTCGTTCTACTGTAACAGACGAAAAAGACGCGACAATAATCAAATAAGGGTCGCCTTACCTCTGGTACGTCGCACAGACGCCTAAAAGCGCTAACGTAAACAAACTCCAGAACAGAATGGTGAAAAAGATAAACGCCACGTATGTGACAAATTGACAAGAAAAGGGGGAAGCGAGAAAATAAAAAAACATGATACTTAGGTGGATGGTGTTGGTGCTGGTTGAGGTTTTGTCGAAGCAATAGCTACCGCGTCAGCTGCATGGGTCTGGTTAAAAAGGGACGAGAGCCATGAAAGAGCTTCAGCGGCGCTGGTCGCGTTGCGGAAGAATGAAACTTGCTTGCCCGTTGTAGAGTAGACTTGCGAGAAGACGGTGAATTTGTTTGCTAGGGCGTATAAAAGGCCTAGGGAATTTCCCTGGGGACCGTAAAGGACCAATAGACTGCTTCCCGAGGGAGCACGCAGTAATCTAGTTGATTAAATCGTCACGCGGCGGCTTTTATACGAATGAGAATAGTTATAGAACTTACTTCGACAGTTTCATGATCCGCGTCCTGTCCTTCCTGAGCAAGTTCTCCTCCAATAAGAGCGTTTGTGAGGTGAGATTTGCCAGAAAGAGAAACGAGCAGAGAAAAAAATCAAAGAACAGGCGGGATTGAACGCTTCAAATAAAAAAAAAAAGAGCTTGCATTATATTTAGATCCTTGGGAGGAGAGCCTGTTGAACTTTGTTATGAGCCATATATATATGGAATTCAGCAAATCGATTCAGTCGATGAAGAAACATTACTTTTATTCACATCAAAAACTGACGAAGCTTGTCTACGAGATCTGTTTGATTCCCATTGTTTTATGGGGGAAGCTGAAAAACAAGTTCATGATTTTTGCTTTACATAGGATCAGCTCAATTAATTAGAAGACGGGTTAAAATTGATCAGTTGTGAATTTGGTTTTCATTTTGATGGAAAATTTTCAATAATCGTTTAACAGCTGTTCGTATTGATATTTATTACAGTTTATCATGATGCCTGTATTGAGAATCTTTTATTGCGTTTAATTGTATTTACATTTCGAATAAAACTTAAGCCCCCCCTCCGTCAAATGAGTGATTTTACTTTGAGCCCCCCCTATCTTGGCAGCAATTTTACGTAATGCCCCCTCCTCTAGTTTTTCAGCCCCGATAATTATTGCACGGTCCCTTACTTGAACCCGCAAATCTGGAATCCATGGAGTGGAATCCAGAAACTAGAGTGCAAGACTTTCCAAGTTGGATCTTACGATGATATCACCTAGACTACATTTTTTTTTGCTCCATTTGTTAGAACTCTCAGATAACAGACATTTGCAATGATTAGAATTATACATAACAAAATCAGTCTTTTTCATATCTCTTTACTCTCATCTACAGGAATTATTTTTGAGATCGCTCAAATATCCTATCAATTATGCTGTTTGCTTGACGACAGGAACTTGCGTTTCATTGATACAAAATATTGATACTTAACCCAAATATATATATATAAAAAAACGACAACTTTACTTGGCAATAAGTTTTCTTTGAAAATAATGTTAAGAACGTACATTGTATTATTTTCGAGATACATAGACAACCTTTGGGGCAAGGTAAGTTAAACCAGTTTTGGCGCGTTTATGTTGATGACAATTTACGTGGGAATATCATATTGAAAATATCTAAAATGAAAGCTATGCAACTACATGTTACACGCTTTACTTAATATCAAAATATCCTTAATATCATTTGGGTTAGCACTCAAGACATCCACACAGGATTTGAACAAAAAAATGAAGACATTCTTGTAGCAAAGGATTTTTAAGAATATTTAAGAGATAAATTTGTACTTCAGCAAAATTTGTCAGGTTATTTCACTAGTTGCATAAAATCGATAGAAAATCTGAATAGAATAGCCGATCAACACCCCATCTGCCACGTAGATATGTATGTGCATATGCATGTATGGTCAAATTACGTGAAACGCTCGCTAAAAAAACTTGGAAGACAGAACGTTGGAAACAACTTACCAAAAGTGCTTCAAATATCAAACCCCAATTATTTTAAGATTCTGCTAAGGATTTATAAAGCAAAAAGTATTTCTAGACCTTTCACTTTCTATTTCCAATGACAAGATCTTTGACTTTGATAGATTTAAAGAATAGTAATCAGAAACAATAATAGAATTTGTTTTTGAAAAATGCTCTGTGTTCGGATGTGAATTGTTCTACATTAAAAATCGAAGTGTCTGCCTTCGGTTACTACCCTTCCTCTAATAATAATAATAATAATAATAATAATAATAATAATAATAATAATAATAATAATAATAATAATAATAATAATAATAATAGTATTCTTTATTCCGAAGGATAAAAATGCACTGATCCTAAGTTACAATGAAGTCAAACGTCCTTATAAAACCTTCTGCTTAATTACCCCATTTACTAGTTGTATTTCGTGTCTTTTCCCTCTGGTACTGTCCGACTTAGGGGGTGATCATCTATACTAATTAATTTCTGAAAAATAGTGCGATATCTCTTGGTTTTCCAGTAGACTAAAAATGTCTACTGAATATCATATGAAAGTGCTGCTTACGACATCTGTTCAGAAAACGCCGAACTGAACTAAGATCTGAGTCAGAGGTGTCATACACGCTGAACCACTGGTGTCTACAACTTCGTTTACCGACCTGCTTTTATTCAGTTTACAGATGTCATAATATCTCGTTAAAAGTGCTTTCGCCGGCTGAAGGTTTCAAAAAAATCATATATATATAAAACCACACAAAATCGCGAATTTTACTATCGCTCTAATTTTCCCTGCTAAGGATCCCCTATTATCACGAAATTAAGACGCGCAAAAAAAGTTGGAATAAGGTGGTCTCCCTCAAAAAATCTTGTGCATGTTCTCACTCTCACCAGGCTTGGATCGTGGTCCTCTACTTACTGTTGTAAATTTAGTTGCGTGACATTACGTACAGCTTAAAATTGAACTTAGAATCTGCTATCTTATGGCTTATCAAAAATCGTTAACTAGATTAAGAGATGTCAACTCTGTTTCTGCAATGACACTAATTATTGCTTCATGATCTGAGCGAGTACAAAAATTCAAGTATTTTGTGTTCAAACGGAAGAGAAAAAATGATCTCTTTCTGCCTAGGCGTGGCCATGTAAGATCTTCCCTTAAATTCTGTATTACTTTGTGTAATGCCACGAGCCCTTCCTCCGCGGCACTTTGACTGCTCTACTCTTTATGTGTCTCAGGGCTAGGATGGTTGCACTAAAGGCAACAGGTAGTATCTTGATAAGCTCCATGCTCTCCTTTTAACCAGCACATGGAATATTACTTGCGGTCTGTGCATTTTGAGAAGCATAACACATTATCAGTAATAATTCAGCAAATTGTAGTCACAGGGGGAACAAAGCCTGCTGCCACCCGTGCCAGATCTCACTTGGATCACGCGGTGAAACTAAAAATCTTAGCGTTGGCAATTTTTGCAGGCTACGATAAGCAAGAAATAATTCAGACACCTTATTTTTCTTTTATTGTTAACTTGTTTTTTTTAAATAATTTATTTCAATGCAAAAGCCCTTTGAAAGTTCTTTTCAGAATTAAGCATTGAACATACATATGTAAACCCTCATGTGATATTTTATGAAATTTTATTATTCTTTATATTTGTATTATTCTTTATAGGGTTTTCTTTTCTTTTCTTTTTTTAAGAAAGGAAGATAACATAGTTGCCCTACCTCTTAACCTTGTCCTGTACTGTTAGCTCACAGTACTTCTGTTAAAAGTAAAATGGAAAATTCAGTCTGTAATTGCACTTTAAGCTACCTTCGTCAAGAAAGTAATTAGTTCTTCCTGGGGGTCCTACTTTGAATGTTTTTTATAAATTTGTGTGTATTAGATAGTTGTGGAGATTCATTGGGGAATAGTCCTAAAGCCTAGCGAAATAATTATTTTCGATAGAGACATAAACAGACTAGATAATTGCTTTTAACCTCCTACTTTGACAAAGTCATTCTGGGAGCCATCCATTGCGCCTCAGCTCCTCGTTTGTGTTACATGGGTAATAAATTTTGATAAGAGACTTCTCACTGAGCCAGCATTCTTTGATATGGTCAAAAGACTTCAATCATCTGGACCGGAATGACAGCAAGTTGATTTTAGGAAACTGAATTGATTGAGTTTTAGCCTTTCAACAGTATAATCGTTCAATTCCTACCTCAATAAACGCAATCGATAAGTCAGCCTAAATAAAGTATGGTCTCAGAGCCACGAGAAGTCTTGTTTGCGGTCCCTCAAGGATTGAAGTTTGGTCTACTACTTTTTTATGATTAGTTAGATGGCAATCTGTACACTAATAACAGCTTGATATACAGTAGCAACCCCGGAACTCGGACTCTGAAGGTAAACGAAAAACATTTCAAGTTAGTGGGGAATTCGAGTTATCGGGGTAAATTTCAGTGAAATTTTGATCAAGGGATTGAAAAGAAATTTAGTTCGAGTTAGCGGGGAATTCGAGTTATCCGAGCTCCAGTTATCGACGTTCTATTGTACTTTGCATAGAAGACGACGGGATGAAAACTGACTCCATAAGACTCGATCTCTCATACAACTTTCAAGGTATCTATCGTTCTCTAGACCAGTATTCCACATCAGTGTGTTAATATATGTAGTTATAAAAGGACATCCTCTTTTTGTCCTCCCATGTGCAGGCACCCATGTAATCAGATGCATAAAAATTCCGTTAAAAAATTAAAGGAAGAAAAAAAGGAAGAAGAAGAAGATAAGAAAATCCCTTATCGTCTAGCTTAACTGAAATCCCTTATTGCACTTGCAGCAACTAACTGAAAGACTGGACACTGGTACTCATCAAAGGTTACAACCTGTTCTTCTCTAAAGTTATGTCCATGCTACCAGTTTGAAAATTCAAACGCACGTAAAGAACCCGGTCTCGCTCTTCTTTATTAGGTCCTCTTTTTTTCACTACGTTTTTTTCTGCCGCTGTTTTAGTACTGTTTATGTGTCTGGTATAGCTGCAGTAAAGCAATCAATAAGTGCCTAGTTAAGCCTCAAACAAGCACAGACTTATACTTTTTTTTTGTGAGTCTGTGCATTTTGAGCAGCATACGAAATTAATATATAAAAAAGGATGAATTCAACAAACTGTAATCACTAGGGAAAAAGCCCTACAGCTACATCTTACAAGACCTCATTCGCTCAGCGTTTTCAAGCCAAGTTCTTCGAGTTGGTAATTGCCGTTGGCTAAATGCGTTGCTTATAATGTTAGCACCTAGGTGCTCTTGATAATTTGGAGGTACTATACTAAAAATTAAACCCCAAATGGCTGCAGAAACGAACAAATTGGCTATTGTCAAATCCAGCTAGTGGTATGAGCGGGACTCGAATCCGGGACCTTAGGACAGTGAGTCCGACACGCTATCACCACTCTATCGAGAAATAACTTTCATTTTTTTCCTATCCTTTAATTTCTATCGGAAATAAGTCATTCCGATGCAAAATTCGTTTCAAAAGTCCAGAAGAGTTTATTAAACAAACGAATTCGAGCCCTCATATTGTATGTGTTTTTAAA